CAAGAGGGCAGTGTAGACGCAGGGCAGGATTTCTTATTGCATTCAGCTATCCGTTCTTTAGCATCTCAAATACATTGATCAGTACTCTTTAAGGATTAAAAGCACATACTAATTTTCAGGCATGTTTGAAAGTCTGATTTCTGATAGTGGAATACTTTGGTGTGAAAGAGACAAACTTAAAGTAACAAAAGCAATTGCCTAAAGTTATTTTTGCATCATTTTTGGCCAGTTTGGCTTTAAAAGGAGAACATGCAAGTATTTAAAATCCAAAATATGATTACTTGAGGCTTCACTAAATGTAGACTCAAAAAGACAAGTTTTATTTAGTTATCCTGAATTATTATTTCTTTTTTTATTTTCTGAAGCGAACTCTCACCATTTCTTAGTCCCAGGTAATCTTGGATTAGGGGAGACCTAGGGCTGGTCCAAATGTCTGATTGCATGACTGAATTCTGTGGCTTGCTTGTGGGTCCAGTTAACTCTGCTTCATCCTGTAACCCTGGAGGAAGGGGAGGCTGGTTGTGAAGCATCAGCAAACTTTGTAGTCCATATGGTGGCATCAATTTATATACCCTGTTTCCAGGTTCTTGGAAGAAGAGAGTTGTTCTCTTGGGCACTGGTCAACTGGGCACTCAGATTGCAAATTTAAATTTCTCTCTTGCTTCTGCTAGTATCCAGTAGATGGCGACAGTATGCAACAAATTTCTTCAGTGCTTCAATTGGACGGAGGGTTTTTATGTTTGTTTCATAGATTGTATTTCAGTGTTAGCTGAAAATGAATGGGAAGTTTCCCTGCTTTATGAAATTTCTTCTAATATTCAAATGTTATACCTAGTTTTCCATTCTTATGCTACACAATTCCTATCATTTTACAACAACAAATATCCCTTTAAAAGCGGCGAGGAGTCCTGTGGCACCTTACAGACTAACTGAAGTGTTGGAGCATAAGCTTTCACCCACATGCATCTGACGAAGTGGGTCTTTGCCCATGAAAGCTTATGCTCCAACACTTCAGTTAGTCTATAAGGTGCCACAGAACTCCTCGCCGCTTTTGCTGATTCAGACTAACACGGCTACCCCTCTGATACATATCCCTTTGTTCCTCTAAATTTAGAAAAACATACTTTTTCCTTTCACATCTTTCAGGGCTTATCAGATATGAGACACTACGTTAGAGGAACAAGACCTATTGTTCAGATATATAGAGATGTATATCTGATCACACTTTTCATTCTACTAGTAAAATCGTCATTGATACAGTTTGCAGATGACACGAATTGAGGGAGTAATAAATGTTGTGCTCCCCATAGGGATTTCACCTGGACAGTTAGGTAAATAAGGAAGAGGACCAGTATGTCTAGATCTCTGGTAAAGGCCTAAGCCAGGAGTGGTGGACAAGAGAGCCAGCCTGCCAAGCCTATTGATTCAGCCCATGTCCAACCTGGTACTTCCCCTCCCCCCAGCCAACTGAGACCTAGGGACGGGGGAGCACACGAAGTCTCCTCTCCCCGCCAGAGGCATACGGAACAATAGGCACCGGGGAGATAGGGGGCAGACTTCACATGCTCCCCCATCCGTAGGCCAGCTAGGGTCTGTGGGTCTGCCCCGCCCCTTCCAGCACAGCCATTTCAGAAATTTGTGAAATGTCCCCTTTCCCCTCTTCAAAAATTATTGCCCACCCTTGGTCTAAGCAAAGAGTGTGTTTTTAAAACTGCTAAATGTATACATCTGGGAACAGTAGGCCGACTGGTGGCCAAGTACAGACTATCAGATGCTTTTGGACTGACCCCAAAATCTTTTTATTTACTTATTATTGTTTTGGGGGGGGTGATGTGTTTTTTTTTCCCCCTCTCGAGTCTAGACCTTGATTATATATTGACGTGATGTGTTTTTTTTTTTTCCCCTCTCGAGTCTAGACCTTGATTATATATTGACCAAGAAATTTGGATCTTGACAAAAAATAATTGATTATTTCTGAGTTAGACCATAGTGCTTCTTAGAATAGTCCATCAGCCTGTGACTTTGGAAAAAAATGTACATGGGGGCAATCCATTTCAACATGATATCCCAATGTGACGCTGTTTTCAAAAGGTCCTGTGCATAAACAGGGAACCTCGAGTAGGAGTACAGAGGTTATTTTACTTCAGTATTTGGCACTCAAGGAGCTATTTAGCTTAAAGTGACAGTAAAGAGGTGATTTGATTAGTCTGTAAGTACCTATGTGGAGAACAAACATTTAATAATGGGCTCTAGAATCTGACAGAGACAAAACACAATCCAATGGATAGAAGTGGATGTCAGACAAATTCAGGCTGGAAATAGGGCATCCTTTTTTACAGCAAGGTTAACTAACCCTAGGAACAATTTACCAAAGGTTGTGGTGGTGTCTCCATCATGAGCAATTTTGAAATCAAGACTGGATACTCTTCTAAAAGCTCTGTTCTAAGAATTATTGTGGGGAAACTCTATGACCTGTGTTATAAAGATGTTAAATTGCAGTTACCAAGGGGCTGGTGCCAGAGCATCCTCTGTGGCTGCCGTGAACAAAGGCTGCTCCAGCATCCGCCTGTTTGCGGCAGCCAAGCTGGCTGTGGACAAGGGCTGCTGTAGGAGCATCCCCTGCCCATGGCCAGTCCTGGTTGCCACAAACAGGAGCTGCCTGGCAGCAGCAGCCCTTGTCTACAAGGGGGTCTAGCTCCTCTGGGGACCACTGTGGATGGGGTTGTTTCACAGCAGCTTCTCCTCT